CGTTCCTATATGTATATATACATAAAGATACACAGGTATTAAGCCAGAATTTCTGGGAGATGTATCAAAAGATTGGGCATTACGGCTTTGTCTGTTATGTTCTCAGTTTTCCAAGTTAGGTGAATGAATGAGAAACCAGTCAGAAGACAGCCTCAGTGCCATTTTAGTGAGCAGTGAGTAAAACTAGCAAGCTATCAGATAGCCTGTGTATGAGCCCCTATTTGAAAGGACAGTATATGTGTTTTATGACTTTACTAACAAATTATCACAAACAAAATAGCTCATGCACTTACAATTTATTCCACAGTCCTTGGGGATAGAAGTCTTATGTCAAAGTAGCTTTTTCTGGCCTGTAAAAAATAATCTTTTCGAACCACTTTTTCCTATTTTGCGGTTTATCCACAATTGTATAACATGGTAACTCATTCTCTAATTCTCTGCATCATCGTCATCATCATCATTATCACTATCATTATTATCATCATGATCATGATCATCATCATCATTATATATTATTCCAGTCTTCAGGCTTGAACTCAGAGCTGGTGTGCAGACCTTGAGCTCACAGTTATGATTATGATTTTTTTTCAGTCTTCAGGCATGAACTCAGAGCCAGGGCATAGACCTTGAGCATATTTTGCTCAAGTCTAGTACCTTACCCCTTGAGACATAGGTCCAGTTCTGTTGTTTTCTGAGTTGTTTATAGCAGATAAAAGTCTTAGGAGCTGGCTGCTAGTGGCTCATGCCTGTAATCCTAGCTACTCAGAAGGCTGAGCTGTGAGGATCATGGTTTTAAGCTAGCCCAGGAAGAAAAGTACATGAGACTTTTATTTCTAATAAACTATTCAGAAAAAGCCAGAAGTGGCTTTGTGGCTCAAGAGGTAGAGGTCTAGCCAGGAGCAAAAGAAGCTCAGGGATAGTGTCTAGGCCTTGGGTTATAACCTCAGCACACATGTACACACCAACAGAAACATACACACACACATACACACAGAGCATCAGGAACTTTCTTCCCTGGGCT